AAAAAAAAAAAAAAAAGCTGTTACTATTAACCTTGCTGGAACTACAGTGCATCTCTAAATATGTGCTTGCCTCCCAATGGGAAGGCCGTAAAATAGTTAACAACTGTGTTCAACTATATAAACAGTTTTTAGAGAGAAAGCGACTAGTTCTTTTTCATTGTTTCACTAAAAACAATATAAAAGGAATATCAAATTCAAGACAAGATTTAGGCTAGAAATCACACACACACACACACACACACTTAGCTACTAGCTAATAAATAAGTTGTGTAGGGGTAGTAAGAATTTTTTTTTTCCTGGAATTTTTAGAGATTTCACAGATAATTATGGGTGTAGTCATTACCTAAAATTAAACTAATAATGCCATTGAAAAATATGATTTGGATATCAGGCGATTTTAGTTTGTGCTTTCTACCCAATCCAAAAAAATATTTGAAAATTATCTACCTGCCTAGCATTGTTATACACTTATACAGTTTGTCAGACAGTATATTTATTGAGTTACATATGTAGCTAAGCAGATATGATAGAAAAGAATACTTTACTGTCAGCTAATTATAAAATACATTTCTGTTGTTCCTGTGGTACATAAGCTACGTAGGTGTTGATAGAGACAGGAGACAAATACTGGGCAGAAGAGGGTGGTTCCCTGGCAAAGGTCCCATCCTCAGGCCTGGTTACCCACAGCCTTAAATGGGAATAGGCATTTCTGTTTTAGCACCAAAAAGTTGCCTTTTGGCCCACCACACCCCCTATCCCATATCCATATAAACTCCAAACCACAGGCCCAAGAAGGAGATGAAGAGACAAACAGAAGAGCAGAATGACAGCAGAGTGCTGTGGCAGAGAGAAGAGAAGGAGCATCTGAACGCCATGAGGAATTCAGCAGGGGATAATTGGTGAGGAGATCAACTGCTGGGTGGCCAAACCCCCAGGGAAGATTATTTTCCCACTCCATCCCTCTCCCAGCTCTCCATCCATCCCACTGAGAGCCACCTCCACCACTCACTAAAACCCCCACATTCACCATCCTTCAAGTTCATGCATGACCCTATTCTTTTGGAGTACTGGGCAAGAGCTCAGGATACAGAAAGCTGCCATGCTGGCCCTCTGCCCTTGCAAAAAGGCAGAGGGTCCAATAGGCTGATTAACCCTTGTATTAGTCTGTTCTTACGCTGCTAATAAAGACATACCTGAGACTGGGTAATTTACAAAAGAAAGCAGTTTAATGGACTCACAGTTCCACATGGCTGGGAAGGCCTCACATTCATGGGGGAGGGTGAAAGGCTCATCTCACGTGGTGGCAGACAAGAGAAGAGAGTTTGGTCAGGGAAACTACCCTTTATAAAACCATTATATCTTGTGATACTTGCTTATTCACTGTCATGAAAATAGCATGGGAAAGACCTGCCCCCATGATTCAATTATCTCTCACTGGGTCCCTGCCACATCATGTGGGAATTATGGGAGCTACAATGCAAGATGAGATTTGATTGTGGACACAGCCAAAACCATATCAACACTTAAGCCATCTGCAGATGACAAGGCTAAAAGAGTGCACTGTAACACATGCTCACTTGGGCTCCTGCACCTGTCCATCTCTGTGCTCCCCCTCCACTAAGGGATTTGAGCAGTGGCAGTGAATGAACAGATGAGCCACACCCCTATCACACATCCTGTGAGAGCTTCAGGGAATTCTCTCATTTCAGTGTGATTTCTGACGATCAAGAAATTTCCTTACAAAACAGAAGATGGAAAGGATGTGGCCAAGAACACTTGCTATCCTTGGGCAAGACACTTAATTTTTCTGAGTTGTCATTTACCATGTGTAATATGCAGACAAATCACTTTGTAAGTTTGCTGGTTGGAGTCTGTAAGCTTCTAGCTCATAGTTTATGATTAATATTATATTTTTCTTGTTTATGCTCTTTTTGACCTTGATTTTCTATTTCACATTATTACCGTTATCTTTGAAAAACTAAAGTCATTGTCTTTCAGCAGAAATTCATCTAAATTTGAAGGGTTTTCCCAAAATAAGTAATATATGCATCAATCTTCCCAACTCAATTAGTGACTGAAATGCTTCCTTCTGTACCAGCACTATCACTATGAGGGATGTGGGCTATCAAGAACCAACTCTTTCGGGGTTATTGGCAGGGAATCTGTAATCCAGGGGGCAGCTTCCATGGGGCCCTGCACAGTTGACACCACAAGCTGGCTCCTTTTGCTGAATAATCCACAGCTGGGCTTCAGGGACTGCTCTCTTCTGTGATGAGGAGCTGTGCATGCCAGCAGTGGCCTAGGGCTTTGTTCTACAGGGCCCTTTGGCTAGCCATTTCAGGGGCTCTCCTGGCACATTCCAAGGTGCCTCTCCTTTCCTTGCAGATCTCATCCTTGCCTTTCCTGAACCCTCACCCCCCAAGACCAGGCCTCACCTATTCTGTCCAGATTCAGGTGCCAGGGCATTTACCTTTACCTCCATTTTCTCGTCAGCCTTTACTATGGCATACAACTCATGCTCTGTTCACCTCAGGGACTTTCCCTGTAAAAGCTCAATTTGTAAAACTTCTTCTTTGACGTCTTCAAAGGCCCGAAACTCCTGTAGGAAATGGAAATACCATTGCCTATTCGGCCAACAGCCATGAGGTGCAAGGAAGAAAGGAAAACCCAACACTGAAAGTAAATATTCCAGGAACTTCTCTCACTGTGTATGTGGGGCCACAGTGTTGCTTTGTTCTCCTCTAAATGTGCACTGCCTGAGTCACTCCATCTACTTTGCCATAATACCTGATCTTTAGGAAGCTCATCAGTTCGTATTTTAGAAAGCCCTGCAAGCATACTTGGGCCCAAGCTTTATCTGTGCTCCTAAGAACATAATCAAATTGCCTATACTATCTTGGTTTAAGAAATTGAGAAAGCTTCCAACCCCACTGGAAACAAGAAAAATATATTTTTTGAAAAGAAAGAAATTGAGAAAGCTGTTTATGTCATTTGGCCCTTAACTCCTATTTCTAACTATTTGTTGAATGTCTACTATGTGCTAGGCTCTGTAAAGAAGATAGTTGACGTTAGTGGCTCCTGTGAGCTCTTTGCACATTGTTTGATTTAATCCCTGTAATAACCCCAGTGGGTGGGCGTGATTACTACCAGCATTCTACAGGCAAGGAAACTGGAACTTGCATGGGTTACACAGAAGGAGAGGGCAGGATTGGGTCTGGAAGGCAGGCCTGCCTGTTAGAAGGCAAATATTCTGTATTTGGTCACCCTGCTCTACCATCTTATTTAACTAAAAGTTGACTTCTTGGAAATTTTAACTATTTGTTAGAAGCCTCTGATGAGAAAGAATGTAAGAAAGGCCCCAATAGCTGTATGCATTAACATAAAATTGTTCATGTTTTATATAGAAAGAACAACCCCTTATCCCATCATTCCTATAGGCTTAATTTTCTGATTATCCAAACACAGGCAGGGTTACAAAATGTCAAGTTAGAGGACTTAAGTGCTCAAGGATAGTGGCCAGTAGGGACAAGTGGTAGTGGCAGTGAGGAGGAAAGACAGAGACTCCACCAGGCAAAGCACAACACCAGAGCATATGCACAACAGCCGGATGTCATCTGACCTGTATGCCACTGAACACCCAGTACTGAGGAGAACACGTCTTTTTTGACAAAATGAACAAATGAATGCATGTTAGAAACATTGCAGAATGCTGAGGCCTTTTGGTATGAAGAAAATTATTTCTCAAAGAATGTTTTTTGCAACTATAGGCCCAAAAATATTTTTAGGAAAAAAATAAAGAATTGTGTGGTCTAGTTAGTTTTGTATACACTTCATACTATATTCCAATATGTCATTTTTGCCATGCAACTAGCTCTGGAACTGTCCCTCAATGAAGAAATCGGTTTAGTTTGGTTTTGTGCCATGTTGTCATTTTCATCAGAAAATCTTTCTCATATAACACCCGAAAATGTGCTTGGAAGCTGTATTTTGAGAAAGACAGAAACACACTTTGTGAATGCTGGTTTAGGGCCCACAGTTGTACATCTTTGATGTGCTTGAGGGTTCTACTATTTTAGAGCTAGTTCAGAAAAAATGAATGGACTATGTAATTTATGTTAGAAGCCAAAATTGTAACAGAAATTTAAAAAAGATACCCAATAAGATAATGAAAAAATTGTGCTTTGGTACTTAAAATGTTAATATTTTATAAATCTGGAAAAATGCCTCTGACAGTCTTCCCCTCTTGGTCCTGACCCCAGTAGGCTGGCCTGTATGGATAATACTGGCTAGCTGCCTTGATTTCCAGCTGCTAGTGAGTGGGGGGCCTGGTAGGAGATCCCCAGGGGGCAACTGTGAAGTCAGGGTCTACATGCCCCCCCTCCCTCCCTGCCCAGTTGCTTTGGGTTGGTTGCCTCACTTGATAGTACAGTTTTCTCGATGAGGCCCTCTCCTCATGACTTGCTTTTTCTGGGTTCCAATAACACCCACTCCATTTGTCCTTTCTGATCAATACTACCTCAGTACTACTAGCCTGAGGTATTGTACTCTTCCCTATGGCCAGCTCTTACTTTTAAAAATAGTTGTTTCAATTAAATTCTCTTTGAATTATCCTAAGTGAGTGTACCAGTCATTTCCTATGTGTTGTTTATCTTCTTTGTGAGTAGTTAGTTATTTGGAATATATCTGTATAACACTAATATGGTTTGCAGTCACCCTGATAATTTGCTTAACTGAATAAGTATTATTTTGTTTTAAATTTCCTAAAGGAAAAATTATTATTATTATTATTTTTGCCAGAGAGTTCAGGGTCAACTCTGACAGTAGAACATAATGGTTAGGATAGGTGCAGAGAGTCTGGGATGAAAATGTCTGGGTTTTAA